AAAAAAAAAAAGATAAAATGTATCACCCCAAAAAACATACATAATATTTTATGTACGTACAGTGCTTAATGCCCCTTAAAATGATTCTTTCATCTTTTAGGGAAAGACTGTGAAAGTAAAGTATGATTACACACATTGTGTAAATTGTGTAATAAATAGTTTCTTTGTAAAATAAGAATGATCATTGTTTCTCGGAAAATTTTTAAAAAAGTCACGTGAATAAACAATAATAATTTGAAATTTGATTTTCTTATTTTAAACAATCGTTTTTTTTTTGGGAAATTCATTCAAAAAATAAATAAATAAATAAATAAAAAAGTTAATAAAAAAAAAGACAAAAGAATTTTTAATCACGCCCAATATTTTTGGTTATATTGAATGAATTATTAATTCATTTCTATGCTATGTAATGTTATGTACTGTAAATGACAGATGAAATTTTGTCGATCATTTATATTTATTATCTCCGTGACCCAAATATAAATACGCCTGAAATAATCCTGCATCGAATTCGGCGTTTTTTTCTATAATACATTTGGCGTTTATATTGTTATTTTTTTTTTTAACAAATAAAAAAAACCCTTATTTAGTAATAAAAAAGAACCATTATTAGAAAATCCATTATATTTAATATTTTAATAAAAAAAAATTCATATATAATAACTATAATTCGAATTAAAAATTTTTTTTTTTTTTTTAAAAAAAAAAAAGAAAAAAAGTTAATTTTTCCGATTTTCCGATTAATCACAAAATTAGAAAAGATGCGAAGATCGATAAGAAAGTTAAAAAACAGATGTATAAAGTGCGGTGGAATGTATACATATGAACAATATAAATGGTGTAAAACATGTGAAATAGGTCTATTAAAAGAAAATTTTAAAAATTGGACCAGTAAAAATGAAAAGATTGATAATTTAATTCAAAAAGTTCAATTAAGAATTAATGATCCGAATGATATAATGTTTGAATGGGTACCATATGATCAATTTAAAATTAAGGAAGTGGGTAAAGATGGTCCCGCCACTGTATATTTAGCAAAATGGAAGGATGGTCCATTACGTTGGGATAAAAAGAAGTATATAAGAGATTCGGATAAAACCGTTGTCTTGAAATGTTTGAACGTCTCACATAATGTGAATTTAAGTGATGAGGTATTTATTTTTTTTAATTATAAGTTATATTGTATATTTGATATTGTTTCTTTTATTTATTATGATAATAATTTCTTCTTTTATTTATAGGATGTGGAATATTCAGTAAAATGGTATATTGATCTTAAGATATTTGGAATATCTCAAAAACCTGATACGAAAGATTATCTTATGGTTCTTAGTAATAAATATTTTGAAGAATATTTCAAAGGATATTGTGTAAAATGTGGTGAAATGTATAAGAATACTCAACATAAATGGTGTAAAACTTGTTTAATAAAATATTTGAATGAAAATTTTAAAAATTGGACTAGTGGAAATGAAGATATTGATAAATTGATTCAAGAATTTCAATTAAAAATCAATGATTATAGAGATATAATAATTGAATGGATACCATATGATAGGTTCGATAATATTGAAGAAATAGAAATAGGATTTACTTCTGTATGTTCAGCAGTATGGAAGGATGGTCAATTAAAGTATGATACAAATGCAAAGAAATATCAAAGGAATGGAAATGGTAGAGTTACTTTAAAATCCTCTCAAAATACGTTGGACGAATTATTAAATGAGGTATGAAATTCTTTTTTTTTGAACTTCGAAAAATTTTATTCGAGATCTTCTAATAATTTTTTTTTTCTTTTTTTTTTTTTACAGGTCAAGGATTATTCTATAAACATTTACAGCAATGCTCTTAATATTTATGGAATATCTCAAAATCCTAATACTAAAGAATATATTATAGTTCTTCAAAATAAATATTTTGAAAAATATTGTGAAAGTTGTGGGAAAACATATTCAAGAATGCATAAATGGTGTAGAACATGTCAATTAGGTTATTTAAAAAGATATTTTACATGTGGTGATGGTAAAATTGATGAATTAATTCAAGATATGCAATCAAGAATCAGTAATCCAAAAGATATAATATTTGAATTAATACCATACGATCAATTTGATGATGTAGAAAGAGATCCCATAGGATACTCGGCAATATGGAAGGATGGTCCATTGGTCTATAATTCAGATACAAGAAGATATAGTAGACTTCCAAATGGAAAATTCGCTTTAAAATTATTAGATGGTTCAAAAGATATGATTAGTGAATTCATTATTAAGGTATGACATCTATTATATATTTATTATTCATCTTTTTTTTTTCGATTATATTTAATTTTTTATGGTTTTTTTAATAGGTTAAAGAATATTCGATAAATATTAGCAGCAATATTCTTAAAATATATGGAATATCTATACATCCAGATACAGGAGATTATTTACTGGTTTTTCAAGATAAATATTATGAAAAATATTGTGTACTGTGTAGTAAAATGTATTCAAATATGTATAAATGGTGTAAACCATGTCAAATTAATTATTTAAAGAATTGTGTTAGTGGCGTGGACGAAAAAATCGATAATTTCATTCAAGAAATGCAATTAAAAGTCAATAATCCAAAAGATTTGTTATTTGAATGGGTATCACCTGATCAATTTTATGATCTTAAAGAGATAGGAAAAGGGGGTTTTGCTACAGTATATTCAGCGAAATGGGAAGATGGTCCTTTATCTTATAATGCGGAAACAAAAAAATATGAACGGATACCTGATATGAGTTTTGCTTTAAAATGTATGGATAATTCACAAGATATGATTGACGTGTTTTTAAATAAGGTCAGTATTTTATTTGTTAAAATTTTAACGCTTTTTTTTTTTTTTTTTATTTGATAGGTTAAAGATTATTCAATTGATTATTTAGATAATAAGATTAAAATATATGGAATATCTCAAAATCCGGATACAAATGATTATATGATGGTTCTTGGAGATCATTATGGTGAAATGTATTGTATAAATTGTGAGAAACCGTATAAAAATGGGTATAAATGGTGTGAACCATGTCAAATGAAATATTTAAAAGGTGAATTTAAAAATTGGACCAGTGGAAATGAAAGAATCGATTATTTTATTCAAGAAATGCAATCAAAGATTGATTGTCCAACCGATAATGTATTTGAATGGATATCATTTAATCAATTTAGTAATATTAAAAAAATAGGAAAAGATGGGTATACAACAGTATATTCAGCAGTATGGAAAAGTGGACCACTATGTTATAATTTACATGACAAAAGAGAATATGCGAGAGATTCAAATAAATCAGTTGCTCTAAAATATTTAAATGATTCTGAACAATTGGTTAATAACCTTTTTGATAAGGTATGATATTCTTTTAATTGATTTTTATAATAATTTTTTATTTAATTTTTTTAATTTTTATAATAATTTTTTTTTTTTTGGTTAATAGGTTAAAAAATATTCAATAAAGATCGATGGTGATTGTATAATACATGGAATATCTCAGCATGTAACTACAAAAGAATATATTATTGTACTTGAAAATAAATATTGTGATAGATATTGTAAAATATGTGGTAACGTATATATAGATATAGATTATGGATGGTGTAAAGAATGTAAAGTAATAAATTATACAAATTGGAATGGAAATGAAAAAGTTGATAATTTAATTCGAGACATAAGATCAGAAGCTGTTGAATATTTTGATGAAGTGAAAATATCTGAAGTATTTGAATGGATACCATATAATAATTTTGATGATATAAGAGAAATAGGAAAAGGTGGATTTGCGTCAGTATATTCAGCGATATGGAAGGATGGTCCATTATTTCATAAAAGGAAGAAAGATAAATTATCAAGAGCACCAGATAAAAAAGTTGCATTAAAATGTTTATGTAATTCACAATTTCTCACTGATGAATTTTTAAACAAGGTATGGATTTATTTATTTATTTATTTAAAAAAAAATAATAAACGGTATATCTTATTATTTGTATTTTAATAATGATTCATTTTTTATTAGGTTAAAAGATACGCAATTAATAGTGTTGATAATTCCGGTAAAATTCTTAAAGTTTATGGATTGACCCAAAATCCAAATACAAAAGAATATGTTTTAGTTCTTCAATATGCTGAAGGTAGAAATCTCAATTATTGGATAAATCATAATAGTAACCTTAAAAATTTTAATTGGTTAATAAAATTAAAAGTATTAGAAAATATTATTAGTGATCTTAAAGAAATTCATCAAAAACAAATGATTCATTGTAATTTTCATACAGGAAATGTTTTGGTTAAGGGGGTTTATTGGGTTTTCTCAAATGATAATATAACTATATCAGATGTTGGATTATATGGTGATGCTGGTAATACGGATGAAACAAAAATTTATGGTGTCATGCCTTATGTAGCTCCTGAAGTATTAAGAGGAAAATCTCATATTCAACAATCAGATATTTATAGTTTTGGTATGATTATGTATTTTATAGCAACTGGAAGACAACCTTTTGCCAATCGTGCTCATGATCATAACTTGGCGTTAGATATATGTAAAGGAGTTAGACCTGAATCAAATGAACCAGAAATACCAAAATGTTATATTGATTTAATGAAAAAATGTTGGATTTCAAATCCAATGAAAAGACCAAATGTTACCGAAATAGAAGAATTGATTAGATTATTTTATAATTCTTATAAAACAAAATCAGATGATGATGAAATTGATAATGAAATTGAAGATCAATTCACTGAAGCTGAAACTTATCGAAAATCGAATAAATTTATTCAATCAAATATTCATCATCAAGCTATTTATATGTCTAGATTATTAAATTCTCACGTAAAAGATCTCAATAAACATTTAAATGATGAATAATTAAACTTGAAAGGTTTATATAGAATAGAGTAGAAAAATATTAATTCGTGAACTTTATATAGAATATATATATATGTGTATATTTCTTTTTTTTTGTTCAACACTGATTATAGAGTAAAACATGTAAATTTTTTTTTTTTTTTCTCATAAATAAAAAAAAATCAGTTTGTAATTGAACGAAATACAAAAAAAAATTGTGAATTTGTTATTATTATTATTTTTTTAAATAAATTATGAATGTGCGAGTAACGTTCGTCATTGTCTTTTGATATTTTATTAAATTTTTTCGTCTTTCAATAATTTTATCTTATAATTTTGATACGATAGGATGATAAATATTGCATATTCACGAAGATTGTTAGGTTTCGTTAGTCGTGTAGCAAATGCACGGAGCTTTTGCAAAAAATATGGTTCATATGGAAATAATTGTTAAAAGAACATTATCTGGATAATAATCGATACTTTTTTGCACACTCAGGTGTCGATTTGTGTCAGCAGATGACGGTTGACAACTGACATGCGTCGCCTGGCTACCATTTTTGCGGGCGACACTAGGGTTGTTGCATCAGAAGTAGATTTACATCTGATGAGCGTCCACTTGAATTACAAAACTTTTTTTTTATTTAGTGAAATTATTATAAGAATACTTGTATATCACAATAAAATGCATCATATTATGAAAATATAAAACTTAATCGATTTATGTGAAATATTATATTGGATATTAGATTTTTTTTAATGTGATAAATAAATTATTTACCAATTGAATTTGTAAAATTTAATTCGCAATTCGTGAGAGATGGAAAGATTTCATTAATGATCGGCGGGCAATTTTATATATAAATTCAATTATTGCCCATAATCTGGAGCCGAAATGCAATTATTGGTATATTGGTACAGTTTTATTGTAATTTCATAAAAGTACCAAACAAATTCTTGACTTCCTCCTGACTGAGGATATCTTCAAAATTGCAAATTTTAAATGAGAGCTGAAACTTGCAAAATTAGACATTTTCGTTAAAATTTACTATTAAAATCGTCGGCTGAAGATTATGGGTAGTGCTGGCCAAATTAAATATTATGGCAATTAAAATTATTATAATATGGGCTAGGGGCTGCTTTACTTAGTTACAAATAAAATATGTAATAAAAATTAATATGTAAAATGCCCCGCCGGTTATTAAGTAAAATTTGACGAAAATCCTTTCTATTTCTCGTGAATTGCGAATTAATGCTTATTATAACAGAGCCCTTGAATACACTGATATAAACCTCGTGATAATTTAGTGTTGAAATTATGCGGTTCTTATTGTATGGATATGAAAAATTATCCGAAGTTTGGAGTACGAACCTTAACTAAAATTGTTTCCACAATCCACATACAAATTTACATAAATTTTTTACATCCGCGTACAGATTTACTCCAGAATTAAGGGTTTGACGTACAAAACTCATCAATGTACTTTTTATTATTTAATCATAAGTTTAAATGCCGGCGAAAGTAATTTAAATTCATCCAAAGATGGAAGTTAGCATGACGAAATCAGAAATTTTTAAAGCTTGTACAGAGATTGAATTTCAAAAAGTTTGTTTACAGAAATGTAATTATTTATTAAAAAACAAAATGTTCAGTGTACGTAAACATCAGATCTGAAGTTTAACATACAGATTGATTTGTACGGAAGTGACATTTGTCTGCGGAAGGCTCAATAATAAAACTATGGCGTATTCAGATGCCCCATTATAACTTAATTTTATGTGATAAGTGTGATAAGACGCGTTCACGTCAGCTGTCACCTGATGCAAATCGAAACCCGAAGACATTCCACAAAATAGGAAGAATAATACCGTCTAGCACTTCATAAAGTATACCCTTTAAGCGTACTCCACTTTAAAAGACCCGGGTATTTTATTAGATACAAAAATTTTATCATTTGTTAATACACCCTCCCCTTAATTCTGGTAATTTAAGCTTAGTTCTGGTCAAAATTACAATGCGGAATCCCCTCATATAATACCCGGTATCTCACAAAGTACCCACGGGTATTATTCAATTTTTAAACCAGATAAATTGTAAAAGATCCGGGGTACTTTATGCAGTGCTGGACGGTATTTTAAATTACTTAATCAAACATTTATTTTGGTCATCATTGTTTAAGCATTGCGGCAAAAACCCTGGGAATTAAAATTGACTTATAGAAAGAAACATGTGATATCAATTAAGCAGTTTCCCTAAGAAATGTCAAATAATGATGCGCCTTTAACACTGGAAAAATAGGTTAGATAGTGGGAAAATTGGTTAGACGCAAGATTCCATACACTACATGTTAATACGCTGATAGTGTGAAATCCTACGCAATTATTTACTTGGAATGAAAGTCAAAGCTGGCATTTAATTAGCTCATACTGTATTATGCTTACACAAGTGTTGAAAAATTTTTTAATTTATATAAAAATTTGATTACTTATCATTAGGATTAAAAGATTGTCTTTCCTAAATTCATATTTATTGATAAGACTCGTTCTACACTAATTTATTTACTAATATAATAAGTTAATTTTATATGTTAATGGTTTGTTCAATTACAAACTGATTTTATTTAAAAAGCTTACATCACTTTTAATCAGTGTTGAACAAAAACTAAATAAACTGAGGAAAAAAAAAGAAATAGATATACATATAATTTCTATATACTAAATGTTCATTATTATTGTTTCCAACAGATATAATAGTTATTGAATTATTTTTACCTTTAGTTCAAAAATCGAACAAATTTTTATATTATAAAGGACCTTTATTTCGTCAATTCTCATCAATCTTGCATTTTTCTAAATATTAAACCAAATTTAATATTTTATATATAAAAAAAGCATAAAGAAATAATTACCTAAACTTTCGCTCATATTATTATAATTATCATCATTATCTTCATTGTTATAAGTTGTGATTTTTGAACTCAATTCACTATCATCAATATATTTTGGAAGGTCTTTCGTAAAAGGGTTAAGTAACCGAGAAGTGTAAATAGCTTGGGAATGAGTAGCTGATAGGCTATTTTCAAAAGATAAAAGATTTTTTTTTCTATATTCTTCTGCCTCTTTAAATTTTGTTTCAATTACATACTTATATGAATTAATCAATTTTTCCAACTCAATAGCATTTGGTCTATTATCTGGATTTGAATCCCAACATCTTTTCATTAAGCCAATATAACATTTTGGTGCTTCTGGCTCATTTATTTCAGGTCTAATTCCATTACATATATCTAATGCTAGTTGATGATCATGCGCACAATTATCAAAAGGTTGTCTTCCAGTTGCTGTGAAATACATGATCATACCAAAGCTATATATATCTGCTGCTTGAGTATAAGGCTTTCCTCTTAAAACTTCAGGAGCTACATAAGGCATAACTCCATAAATTTTTGTTTCGTCTATGTTACCAATTTCTCCACATAATCCCATATCTGAAATATATGTTTTATTACGTAATGTATTATATAATATATTTCCTGTATGGAAATCACAATGAACCATATGTTTCTGATGTATTTCTTTAAGACCTTTAATGATATCAGATAATGTTTGTATTTTATATTTCCATTTAAAAATTTTATAATTTTTTTTTATCCAATAATTATTAATATTTCCACCGGTTGCATATTCAAAGACCATAATATAATTGTTTGTACTTGGATCTTGAGTCATTCCATATACTCTAAGTATATTACTTGATTTACTTGTATCTCTTGAATAATACTGAACCTATTAAAGTATAACATTTTAATGATTTATTAAAAAAAGTTCAATTAAATAAATCAAAGAAATTCCATACCTCTTTTAGACATTCATTAGTGATATTTTGGGAGTTATTTAAACTTTTTAAAGCAACTAATTTATCTGAATTTTCTTTTTTATTCTGATTATAGTATTTTGGACCATTCACCCATATTGCTGAATATACAGTAGAAAAACCGCCTTTATCTATTTCATTTACTCTTTTAAACTGATTATATGGTATCCATTCAAATAATATGCTTTTGTGATTATTAATATTTAATTGCATTTCTTGGATTAAACTATCAACATTCATATTTCCACTCCAATTTGTAAATTTTTTTTTCAAATCATTTATTTCACATGACTTACACCATTTATACTCTTCGATATTTGGATATTTTTTATTACATTTTACACAATAAAATTCAAAATATGTATGATCTAAAACCATAATATAATCTTTTGTAACCGAATTTTGTGATATTCCATATATTTTAAGTGTATTATTTGATTTGTTTGTATGGCAATTTTCTTTTAAATAATTTCGAATCTATTAAAAAATATAACATTTAAAGTATTATTTTATAAAAAAAAGGTAAACTAACAAATAATAAAGTAATTCAATACCTTTTTCAGGAATTCATCAGTAATATATTTCGAATTACTTAAACTAATTAAAGCAACTAATTTATTCAGATTTCTTTCATTATTATTATAAAATATTGGGCCGTTCTCCCATACTGCTGAATATACAATAGCAAGATCACTTTTGCTTACTTCTTTAATGTTTTTAAAGTGATTATATGATATCCATTCAAATAGTATACTTTTGTAATCACAATCTTTTAACTGCATTTCTTGAATAAAATCATCGATATTTTCATCTCCACTAGTCCAATTTGTAAAACTTTTTTTCAAATCATTTATTTGGCATGATTTACACCATCTATACTCAGTATTAGTATATTTTTTATTACATTTCACGCAATAATATTCAAAATACGTAGAATCCAAAACCATCATATAATCTTCTGTAACTGAATTTTGAGATATTCCATATATTTGAAGTGTATTTGTATTGTAATTTTCTTTTGAACAATTTTTAATCTATTAAAGCACATAAAATACAAATATCATTTATTAAAAAAAAGTAAATCAAATAAGTCAAAGAAATCTCATACCTCTTTTATTAGATATTCATCAGTAATATTTTTTGAATTACTTAAACCTATCAAAGCAACTAATTTATTTAAATTTTTTCTTTCATTCTGATTATAAAGTATTGGACCATCCATCCATATTGCTGAATACACAGTTGCAAAATCACCCTTGCCTGTTTCTTTGACATCTTTAAATTGATTATATGGTATCCATTCAAATAATGTGTCTTTATGGCTATAAACTTTTAACTGCATTTCTTGAATATAATTATCAATTCTTTCATTCCCACTAATCCAAATTGCAAAATTTTCTCTTAGATAATTTATTTGACATCTTCTACACCATTTATGCTGTATAAATGTATCTATTTTATCACATTTTAAACAACATTTTTCCAAATATTGCAAATATTTATTATTAAGAATCAATGTAAAGTCTTTTGTATATGGATTTTGAGATATTCCGTACATTAATCTATCGTATGTTATTGGATATTTAATTGCCTATTAAATTATGGAAAAAATCACTCAAATTTGTTTTTAGAAATGAGTATTTAAATCAATTTATTAAAGAATTCATACCTTATATACCTCATTTAAAAATTCAATAGTAATATTATTATAAGAGGTAGGCAAACATTTCAAAACAATATTTTCATGCTGATGCCTTGCGTATTCATTTTTCCAACTAGCCCAATATAATGGTCCATTCTTCCAACTTGCTGAATATATTGTAGCGAAATCACATTTGTCTATTTCTTTAATATCATAAAATTGATTATATGGTATCCATTCAAGTATTACATCCTCATAATTATTAATAATTAATTGCATTTCTTGAATGAAATTATCAATTTTATCATTTTTACTGGTCCAGTTTGCAAAATTTTCTTTAAAGTTATTTATTTGACATTGTTTACACCACTTTCTATCTCTGTTTGTATATAATTCATCACATTTCATACAGTAATGTTCTAAATAATCAATATCTATTAAAACTACGATGTAATCTTTAGTGTCTGGATTTTGAGAAATTCCATATGTTTTATCTCCATATTTATATATATGTCTCTCCAAATGGTTATCCCCCTAATAAAATATGAAAAAGAAATCCACTTAAATTTTGGTTTTTAGATATACTAAGTATTAAATCAACTCATGAAGAAATTTCATACCTTACTTATCTCCTTCAAAAACCCGTCAATATTATTATGTGAATTTCGTAGACATTTTAACCAAACTTTTTTATAATTTGAATTCCTTGTATATGTTTTACCATGCCAATTTCCATACCAATTTAATGGACCATACTCCCATAATGCTGAATATACTATAGTAATCTCATTTCTTCCCACTTCATTAATATTATTAAAGTGATTGTATGGTACCCATTCAAATATTATGCTTTTGTAATCAATAATATTTAGTTGCATTTCTTGAATATATTTATCAATTATATCATTTCCACTGGTCCAGCATGCAAAATTTTCTTTAAAGTAATTTATTTGACATGGTTTACACCATTTTTCATAATGGTGTGAATATGATCTGTAACATTTTTTACAACCATACCAATCATTTAAGACCATGATATACTCTTTTGTGTTTTGATTTTGGGATATTCCATATACATTTACCAAATATTTACTTGACTATTAAATTATAAAAAGACTTAATTATTTTATTAAAAGAATAAGTAATCAAAACAAAATAATTTCATAGAGAATTTCTTACCTCATATATTTCATTCATTTCATTTAAAAATCCATCAATAATATTATCATGTAAGTTATGTAAACATTGTAAAATAACCTTTTTATCTGGTGAATCTCTTATGTATTTCTTATTATCTTCATTCCAGTATAATGGACCATTCTCCCATGATGCTAGATATACTGTAGTAATACTATATTTACTTACTTCTTCAATATTATAAAAATGATTGTAAGGTATCCATTCAAATATTACGTTATCGTAACAATCAATCTTTAATTGTCTTCTTTGAGTAAAATTATCAATTTTATCACTTTTACTGGTCCAGTTTGCAAAATTTTCTTTAAAGTTATTTATTTGACATTGTTTACACCACTTTCTATTTCTTTTTGTATATACTTTATCACATTTCATGCAGTAACATTCAAAATATTCAATATCTAAAACCATGATGTAATCTTTTGTATCTGGATTTTGAGATATTCCATATACTGAATATTCACTTAACTATTAAATTACAAAAAGACTTAATCGATTATTTTATTAAAGAATAAGTAATCAAAACAAAGTAATTCATGGAGAATTTGTTACCTTATAATATATTTCATTTATTTCATCATCAATAATATTATCATGTAAGTTATGTAAACATTTTAAAATAACTTTTTTATCTGGTGATTTTCTTATGTATTTCTTATTATCTTTATTCCAGTATAATGGACCATTCTTCCATGATACTAAATATACTGTAGAAGCATCATGTCTACCTACTTCTTCAATATTATAAAAGTGATTGTAAGGTATCCATTCAAAAATTATATCACGGGGAATTCTTAATTGTCTTCCTTGAATAAATTTATCAATTTTTTCATTTCCACTGGTCCAGTTTATAAAGTTTTCTTTAAAAGATTTTATTTGACATCTTATACACCATGATCTCATATAAGAAAATAAATAATTATCACATTTTTCACATCGCTCATAGTTACTCATTATAAGTCAACGTTTAAAAAATGTTGAATACAATGCAAAGAATTAAAATGCAAATTCAAAATCAAAGAAAAAAATTATTTAGTTTTTCAAAAAGAGTGAAACAGTTTATAGTAAAAAGTATTTTTCAAGAAAAAAAAAAGTTCGGTAAATAAATACCCTGGGATCCCTGGGATCAATGATTATGATTATCAGATTCCGATAAGTAAATTAATTTCTATTTTTGTCAATAAATCAATAATTTTGGTATAAATTAAATTGTCTATCTAATACAATTTTAGTAATTTTAGTAAAATTTTCATTTATTATTTTTTTTTTTTCCCACGAATAAATAGTAAATATGTATAATCATTAGGTCATATGACGCAAGCGATCAATTTTTTAATAATTAAAAAAGGTAAAAATAAACAAATAAATAGTCTTTATGCATACTTTATATCTGTCTTGTGCCACATAAAAACATAAATTTCATGCGATTTGACCTTTTTTGGCGCCAGCAACAAAGCAAAGTGTAACATTTAACTGCGACACAGAACGAAAATTTTAAAATTTTAGTAATCAGGTTATTAATATAAAGATAATTTGGTTTTCTAAAAATAACATTACATGAAAAATTTTATTATATCAAATAGAAATTCAAAATTCAATTTTATGAAAAATGGAAAATATATTTTTGGTTAGCGGATGAATATTGAATATTTAATATATTATACTTTTCAGCATGGTTAAAAATCCTAAAATCTATAAATAAACATAATAAATTAGCCAATCCCTATAAAAAAATTTCTGGGTAAAAATTCCGATAAATGATCATAAGATCATTTTTCTAGTTTTCATTCCAAAAAAAACTCCGATATGCGATCAATTTTCAAAAAAAATTTTTATAAGGAATAGTAATTATGATATTTGTTTATAAAAAAAGAGCATAATTTCTATTGGCTAGTTATTTAGGATTTTTAACAATGCTATACTTTTCACATCCTCAGATGCTAATTTTATAAGTAAACTTATGCACTATAACAGTATAACTATACCACATTTATAAATATATGAAATAAGTAAATAACTTTAATACGATCTACATCTGACACAAATCATCACCAGAGGTACAAATTTATAAATAAGTCATAAATCGTTCCTTTGATTTTGACGTTACGCAATCTCAGCCCTGAAGCGACGTGTGCAAATCTATTCCAGTTGAGTAGAATGGCAATAAATAATTTCTTGAAATACCATACAGGGAAAAAATTATTACAAAAAAAATTTAGTCGATTTATAAAAGATGATCGTACGGCAGGAAAAAAAATTTAACTATTATGATTGGAAAAATCGATATCACGTGATCAAAAAAAAATGACCCAGAAACTAACTATTTTATATTTAGCCTTACCGATATCCTTAAGAATTTTTTCTCTTTTATTTAATTTTGAAATGTCTTCAACTTTAATAATATAGTAATCAATGTGCAATACAATTATAATCTATTAAAATTTAAATTATTCGATAAGAATTCTCATAGGTTTCCTCGGAAATTTTGAAGATATGGAAAAACTAGCTTCCCCAAGTTTCAGAATTGACCTGACGAATCTCAGAACTGATTTTTCATTAATTGTCAAGCACAGCAGTACATATATTTGTAATATTTATTGACTAAAATATGCCTAATTTTTATATTTAAAATATAAGAAAATTAATTTGTAGGTGACATAGTATTATATGATTAAGTTATATAATGAACGTTAATTTCTTTCTTCTCTCTCCTTCCTTGCAATCTCTTACAACAATTTTTAATATATTGAAATGTTTAAGAGCGTAAACCTGAATGTCGGAGCAAACGTAGATCATAAGCAAACACATGTACAGGGCGCGGAATTATTAAACTATGTTTCACTGCAGTTCGGTTCTTGCACTCCATGCGCTTTACTGCAGTGCAAACAATGATTTTTAAGAGTTATCGTAATAGTAATATCTGATATGCTACTTTAAAGGCTTATTATTATAAAAACGTTTCATTTTTCAAATACAAAGTATAAATGTTATACTTTCATTTGATTAGTTACGGAAAATGTACCTGAAAAATTTATTGTTAAGTTTTGTCATTGTATAGATGCAACCCTGTGTATAGTAGTATGAGTTTTCTGCTTCCGTTTGGATAATCCCTTTTTATAGCGCAAATTGTTATATTATTAATAAATAATTTCGTAATAATTTATTAATGCATCAGAAATATCTAGGTTTCGATTACACCGCGTCTTGACTATTACACATTTATTTATATATAAAAAATTGAAATTTCCATATACAAGCTTTATTATTTTTGAATTATATGTAATAATATAAAGAAAAAATCAATATACCGTATTTTGCTGTTAGTAAGCATCTCCCCAAAGATAAGCACCCTGGTCAGAATTATGGCTATTTTGGCCAGAATTATGAGGATCTTGGCCGGCATTAAGTGCAAAAGGGGGGGCTTATATACCGCAAAATACGGTATGTTTTGTAGACGAGAAAGAATTTTTTTATGGATATTTTTAAAATGTAATCAAAGAACACTGGATCATGTAGTTTAAAGCATTTGGTTTATTTATTTTATATTTAATGAAGTTTATATATTTTTGCATAGAATTGTTTTTGATAAATTAATCGGCAAAATTTAGAATAGTAGGAAATTTTTGCAACTAACTAACTATATATTTAATTATTCGTTTTTAAGAATGATTATCGTTATTACATAAGAATATCTGCTTAGAAAATGTTTGAATCGTACACCAGATATGATAGACATTCATACATACGTGCTACTATAATGGCGCAATTGTTTATCGTACATAAAAAAATATTTACTTAATAGTCGCACGAGAGAGAAAATATAATTGAAATTTTACTACATTACAATGGTATTTTTTTTTTTTTTCATAAAATAATGGAGAATCCAACATAACCATGATTTTTAAATTTTGTATGTACACTTAAAGCTGAAATAGCTTATATGTTGATCTTTTTTTATATCATATAAATTTCCATACACGGTAATTTTATTTTAAATACACCGCTCTCCTTTTATAGTAACGATCATGATGATTAACACCACCTTCGTAATAGCATTTTTCTTCAGCGGCTTTAAAATAATCTGGAATCATTGTTTCTTCTTTTACAGGAAATCTATTTATAAAATTTAGGAATTTACTAGAATTTTGAGGATATATGTGAAAACTTTTTTCATTTTCAATTTCTTCAGTTTCTTCCGAAGTCATAATATTATTATCTTCTACGTTTTCTTCTAGTGATTTTAGACAAAAGAAATCAACATTTCTTCTTCGTTCTCTTTTCAAAAGTTTCTCATTTTCTATCTTTAATTTTTCATTTTCAATTTTTAATTCTTTTAATTGTTTTTCATATTCTTTTTCTTTTAATATCCAATTACTTTCAATCTGTTTTTGTAAATTTTTAATAAGTTTATTTTGTTCTCTTCGATTATCCTTTAAATTTTCAACTTCTTCAAATAATTTTTCAATTATTTCATCTTTTTTAACAAGTTCAGATTTATAATATTCAATATTATGATTTATAGCGTTAGACATCATCATTGTTTTAATATTAAGAAAAAAAAAAAATTAATTTTTTTTTTTTAGAGTAAGAAAAAAGAAGATTAGAAGTGAGATTTATAGAAAAATTATTTTAACTTTTTTTATCCTTTTTATTAAGGAATGAGATTTCCTTATTAGAATAAAATTCCATCATATTACATTGGCTAATTGTATCAAAGTGGTACAATAGATTTGTTGGATGATCGTCAGATCGTCCCGTTTTTTCTTTTGTTTAATATAAAAATTTCTCCCGTTTCAAACAGGACTTTGTAAACTCCGAGCTATACGTAAATAGGTCAGGTGAGATCAACATGCATTTTCTACTAGCTTTATGTATCATTTCAGGACCTAGAACTCCGACTTTTGGAAATAAGAAAAGGAGAGATCTACAATAATTATTATTCAACAATCAATGAATGCTAAATTATTTCATTATATATTGTATTAATACATCATATAATAAGTTTCGTTGTACTACCCTTAAATCCTTTTATTTTATTGCGGAAAAAAAAAATTATTTTATAAATAATATAAATAACGAATTTTTTACTTTTTTTAGTTTTGTATGAAGGTAAAAGAAAATGAATTTATTTGACCGCGGCTATGTACGATTACGAAGTTTGTTTATGTTGATCAAGGTATTATCTCGAAAAATATAGAAATGAAAAAATGAATAGAAATCAAAGTTGGTATCAAATTTCCGGACGAAGAAATATACAAATTGAAACAGAGGCTTAAAATAATTCATAAATGATGTAAACTTTCGCAGCAGATTGGAATCACAAAAATAGCTTTAAAAAAAATATTGGTGTAAATCACATGATTTTCAATTTGTCAATCACAGGATAAAAGAAAATGAGCTGATAAATAAATTAATCGTTTTGTCTACTCTCGCACGTATTTGATGTAATTTTTTGCATAATAATTGACATATTTAGGTTTTAGGTGCACAAAATATTATAAATTATATCATTTATAAGGTCTTTGATTAGCTTTCGAGTAGATATGAAACTGTGTAACCTGGTCAATGATAAGGGTTTCCCCGTCTCTCTAAAATGGGCAAAGAACAAAGTTGAAAATGAATTTTTCTTTTTTGATTGGCAACCAACAAGCTCAATTCGCTCGCATATTCAGGATTGGACAACAGATAAGCTGGCTTATTGATCTATTTGATAACCAATCATGATCGGTTATTGATTGGTTTACAGTGATTCGAGGTTAAGCATTTATAGCGATCATGACAATTTAGATGGGTTTATCTAATGTTGGCCGGAATAATCTTAGCGCGGGCCAAATTTACTAAATTATATTGTAAAAGTTATGTACAAAGAATCGGAGTAGTTTAAACAATATTTGCAACGAATTTTAAACTGATTTATCACATCATAGAATATTTCACATGAATGAGATAACCATTTGGATTTTAACTTCGCATAAACTTTATTTTGACATATTATATTTTCAATACAAATACAAATCTGTTATTTCTGTTATGGTCATTATATTAGCAGACCCATACTGTCTCTTTAAATAACCAAAACAATCATCGCTAATGTTTACTAATTAACAACTTTGAAAAGCAGTTTCATGATAAATATCCAATTATTTTACTTGCAACATCATAAAGAATATTGAAAGAAATTTACGTAGTACATTGATTATGAAATTAATTTAAAGTTATAATTTTAAAAAATAAGATTCCAATTGATTGAAATCTAATGTGTTATTAGTTACATATTGTGTATTGAGACGAAAATATTGTTTACATATAAAACTTTCACATTGTAATATGTCATAGGTTATTTATTGGCCAAATTGATGGAAAAAAATTATCCCGAAGTCTTTTTTTCGACCACTGTACAATCTGTACATAGAAAAGAGACATCTATGTATGTAGCGTATGGTGATGTGCATTTTGCATGCTTATGTTCAATCAAATAATTGTATAACATGTCATGTATGCTGTTCTTTGTATGTATGTATAACACAAAAATTTCACCCTGCGTGACTTGTGTGGGCAGTGTGGCACGATATTTTTAATTTATTGTTCGTTTACAACACTGAAAACTATTTCTTCCTCCTCTTTTCTTTCCCTTTTTCACGTTAAATCTATTAAACAATAAAAAAATCAATATTTTTGAAAAGCTTTAGCGTAGAATATTGTCATAAGTTGTAATCTTTACAAAAACCGCGTTTTTTTATAAATTTTATAATATTAATTTTAACACTAGTTAACAAAGCAAGACTAAGTAGAGATATTTAATAAGTATGGAAGCACTTATATATTAATTAATACTAAATATTTGTGAAAAATATTTTAATTAACTTATTGTACCGTGTTTGTTTTCCAATTTTATAGCGTAATTTCAGTACTTTGGCCAAATAAAATAGGCTTAGGAAGCTCAAGTAATGATGTTCAGCAGGCGTTGAATTATTCAAAAATTAATTTTTTATCAAGCTAGCTTTGAATATTTTAATATTAAGTAATTTTATTGTATTTTATAATAGTGTATTTTAAGTATTTGAAAAAATAAATTAATTCAAGAACAATAGTCAATAGTATGTTTATTAATTTAATAATAAAGTGTAAAAGAGTTATTTTTAACATGTGTCTATTATAAAAAGTAATAACTGATTTTATCTTATATAGTATTTTAAGAAAAAATATCTGTTTTTTTTTCTTTTTTCCTCCTCTCCAAGAAAAACGCTACATATTGGATTTCCGGTCACGTGATTTACATCGTTATCGTACCGTAGTACGTACATTTTTTATTGTAAAAAGTTATAGTATAATAAATATGTACGTATAGCAAAAACAAGCAACCATACAAAAAAAATAGGTTGCCATACGTGACATACAGGGGCGTATACATGCGAGGCGTATACATGACATGTTTTCTACATACTATGATTCAATTAGCTTTCTTTTGTCTATTTGACTATGGACAATTTTTTTTAATGTTCTACCGCATATCATATTTGTAGGTTCATTATTTAAATAACGTATAGGATACTATTTCTTTAAGAGAATATCTGCATTTAACCGGGGAGAAAATTAACCGGTAGGAAGAATTATAGTCAAGCTTCAAAACTGGATTGTACCAGAATTAACGTAATTCCTTATCCGCCGGTTAATTTTCCTTCCGGTTAAGATTAGTAACACTCTTTCTTTAATTATAAATAATAAATTGTAATTCATTAAGTCTTTATTTTAGAATTACGTAAATATCCAAATACGATATTTAAAGATTATTTTGTATATTCTGCCTCTTTATATTGTTTTAATTTCGTTTTTTAATTAAAATAATTTTTATACAATTTAATCATGTCATTTTCTATTAAATTAATTAAAATTCAATATATGATAACAACAAATCGTATTATGGTTCAGTTTATAATATATTTTAAACCCTTTAAATATATGTAGTGGCGAATCATATTTTCACTATGGATATAAGTTTTGACGATCATGCGGCATATTTACGGAATTAATTTATCGATTCTGACTGGACAAAAATTTTACTGTTTAACTGAAATCCGGAAAAACTTGGAACATAATAATTTTTAAAAACAGCCTTTAAAATTATTTTAAAATTTTTTACTTGCATCTTGCATCGAAGATAGTATTTATGCCGTTTTGCTCGTGCTTAGTGACAACGGACAGACCGATATCGGGATATCTGTCACGGTCTATGACTGGTTAATTCCCGTGACCGTTATCATCCCTATTTTCAAATATTAAAACAAAATAATTTACTATATATTAATTCATAAAAAATATCAAGTGATTGCTTAACTTTTATTATGCAAACAAAACTAATAATATAATTTCAATGAAAAGAAAACATAAATATATGCTCCAGTATTTCTAATTATAAAGAGATAAACTAAAAAGTAAATACAATAAAAAAAAAATCGATTATAACTTGAAGTTTAATTTGTAAAATCAATAAATAATTTCACAGTCTAAACATTCAGAATTATCATATTCTTGAAGTTCTGCTGTATAAGGATTAAGTAATCGAGATGTATAAATAGCTTGTGGATGTTGTTTGTTTTTCTTAAGAGAATGGTATAATTTTCTGTAATTTTCTGCTTCTTTAATTTGATTTTTAATTTCAACCTCATTTGATCCACCCATTTTATATGAAATATAAAATTTACAAAATGACTTGATTAATTTGTGAATTTCAATAGCACTTGGTCTATTACTTGGATCAGAATCCCAGCATCTCCTCATTAAGTCAATATAACATTTTGGTGCTCCTGGCTCGTTGATTTCAGGTCTAATTCCATTGCATATATCTAATACTAAATTGTGATCATGTGCACGATTGACAAAAGGTTGTTTTCCAGTTGCTGTAAAATACATAATCATACCAAAACTATATATATCGGCTGCTTGAGTGTAAGTTTTATTTCTTAACACTTCAGGAGCCATATAAGGAATAACTCCATAAATTTTTACCTCGCTTGTATTATTCACATCTTCACATAATCCCATATCTGATATAAATAATGATTTCTTATTAAAAGAATTTAAATTTTTTGTCAAAAATAATATATTTCCTGGATGTAAATCATGATGAACCTTCTGCTTTTGATGAATTCCTTTGAGACCTTCAATGATACTAAGTAGTGTTTGTATTTTATTTTTCCAATCGAAATCTTTATAATTTTTATTCATCCAATAATTATAACTTCCACCTTCTGCAAATTCAAGAACTATAATATAATTTTTTGTATTTGGATCTTCATATACGTTAAGAATATCATTCATTTTATTAATTGAATATTCTTTAACCTGTTCAAAAAAAAAAATATATATATTCTTAATTTAAAATAACATTTGATTATCAACTTATGAAAGAATCTATCCCATACCTCATTTAAGAATTTATCAGTCATAATTTGTGAATCATTTATACTTTTTAAAGCAATTTTTTTGTTTGAAACTCTTGTATACATTTTTTTATCAATATTATATTTTAATGGACCATCTTTCCATATTGCTAAATATACTGTGGCAAATCCACCTTTACCTATTTCCTTTACATAATTAAATTGATTGTATGGTATGGATTCAAATACTATATTGAAACAAGAATTAATTTTTGATTGCATTTCTTGAATTAAATAATCAAGTTTTTCATTCTCACTGGTGCAATTTATGAAATATTCTTTTAAATATTTTAATTGACATTGTTTACACCACATATGAGTATATTTTTCACCATAATTTTTACAATATATATATTTTACCATATTCCATGCAATATTCATTTTGAATAACTAATATGTAATACTTTTTATCTCCCATATACTTTGAGTCCATTTATATTTATTTCTTTAACCTGTTAAATTATAGATATATTTTACTAATTAAAAGAATATTTAAATTTAAATTAAAAATTTTTCGTACCTTATTTAGAAGTCTTTGAGAGTCATTAAAACAACATATTAAAGCAACATCATATTCCCATTGCTGAATATACTGTAAAATAATTGCCTTCACCTATTTTCCTAATTTTTTTTAAATTTATTATATGGTATAAAAATTGCGTTACTTTGTTCATTAGTTTCTAATCGATTCCACTTTTCCAACCCATAAAATTACATGGCCTACACCATTGAATAAATTAAAGAAACCTGATTTTTTAACTTAATTAGTATACAGTTCGTGTTAAATAATCTAAATAAAATTGATAGAATAATTAATACTATTGATAAATAATTAAAAAATATTCAAACTTTTTATTAATGAAAAATACAAAATTCACACATTTTTTACATATCTCGACAATTTGAAATCCAAATACTATATCTTATTCCTAATTTACTCCAGATATTAAATTCCTTAGTTTTATGCCTTATAAGTTATAATGTTTTAGGTTTGTTAACAGAAATATGAAAATTAATTAATGAATTAGAATTTATTGTTGATACTGTATGTCCAAAAATAATTATGGTATTGGTAGTAATTTCGGTTAATATTTGTTTTATAAAACAACTATTGTAACTTTTTTTTAACGATTAATCCAACATTTTACAAAATTCTCATTTAAGTATGCTAGTACAACCTTAGATTTCAAAATAAAAGAATAAATAAAATATTTTTCGAATGATTTTTTTAAATGTTCAATTCATGTAATTTACATTTATACTGTATAAATTATTTTAAATTAAAATCGAATTGAATTATGAAAACATTCACATTCAAACAAATTGATAAATTTTTGTAATGTCAAGAAAACTTTTGTTCCTGGAAACGGAATTTTACAAATAATAATTATACAGTATATTGACTTTAAACATGCATAAGTTTATTAGTATATATGTATAAAAGATAGTGATTAACTTATTTATGGTAGCTAAGTTTTTAAGTCACTTAATTTGGGAAGTTGAGCTTAAATAAACTAATTAATCATATGCAATAATAAATATCGGGATAATTAATATTTATTAATTATATATACTTATTTGGGTTTCAATTATGTGAAATAAAAAGATCTAGCATAATAATATTTACAAAATATTAATATTAAAAATAAATAAAAATAAATGATATTATAATCCACATTAAGTTTTATCATAAGCTTACAAGGAACTAAGCTACCAATTGTACTGTTATACTATAGCTTATAAATAAATAATATTAATTCACTAAATCATCAACCTTATTTTCATCGTCAATATCAATAGCACCTCTTAATTGTATTGAGTTAGACACTTCCAAGTCGATTAATTGAGAATCACAAACTATTGAAACAATAAAGTTAATAATTATTTAAGTAAGGATAAAATTTTTAAAAATAGAAAATACCTTCATTATTAACATATAAAGTACTAATAATGGATGAATTAACGGGTTTTGGTAATAAATTGTTAAATGTAAACGCTCTACTGGTATATACAGCATCAGAATTCTTTTCATACGAAGTTGAGATGTTTGGTATTTCTTTATCAGCTTCTTCAAATGCTGCTTTGATTTCGTTTCCTTTATAACCGTATTTTTCTTTATTATCTTCATTACCTTGAATAGAATTATACCAAAAACCAAATATATTTCTTAATTCTTCAGCTGCTGGTCTTTCATTTGGATTGACATTCATGCATTTATAAGCTAATTTCTTATAAAATTCAGGAGTTCCTTTTCCAAATTCTGGTCTGAGTCCATTACATATGGTTAATGCTAAACTTAAATCATGTTTTTTATTGTAAAAAGGTGGTTTTCCTGATGATAATTCAGCCATAATTACGCCTACACTATAAATATCGGATGATGATGTATATGGTTCTCCGTTTAAAGCTTCTGGTGCAATATATGGCATTACTCCGTATACTATTTTATCATCTGATTTTTGTTCATTTGCTGGTCCAGATAATCCAAAGTCTGAAATACAAGTAGTATTAGTTTGTAAAATATTCCCACTATGAAAATCTTTATGTTTTAAGTCAACTAAAATATGTATTAAATAATTAATTTTACTTTCCCACATAATGGTGTTGAAGTTATTTGAAAGAATACTTCTCAAATTTCCTTCATCAGCAAATTGTATAATCATCATAAATTCTTTAGTTTCTAGGTCTTTAGTTAATCCATAAAATGTTAATCCAGCTCCATTAGAAATTTTCCAATGTATTTTAAGCTATATTTTAATAAATTTAAAATAAAATAATTAATACTATTAAATACCCAAATGAAATAAATTAAATAAGATACAAAATAGTATAAAAACGTACTTCATTTAAATATTTATTTGACATATTCTGTGATCCATTTAACCTTTTCAAAGCGATTTTTATAGGATTAGGACGAACCTTTCCCCAACTTCCATCATCATTTTCATAGTACTCTAATTTACCATCAATCCAAGTTGCAGAATATACTTTGGCAAATCCACCTTCACCAATTTCTTTTATATCTGTAAATCTATCAAATGGTACCCATTCAAGAAATAGATAACTATATTTACGACTCCAATTTTTCGGCTTACACATTGTATCTTTTATAAATTTATCAATATCAGAATTTCCACTGGTCCATCCTTCCATTATTCTAAATGGGTCACATTCTTTACACCATAATCCTTTAGTAAAGGGTTTATTACAACATGAACAATTTTTGTGATTAAAATTTCCACCTGAGATATTTAATTTACTAAATTCGGTTCCCATTAGGTTATTTTCGTAATATTAGTATTCAAAAAAAAAGAAAAATAAATTTTTTTTTTTTAAAACGAAAAAAAAAAAAATTATATTTATAATGAATTACTAAAAAGGATATTTTAAATCAAAAGCGGAAATTACTCCGATCATTGCACAAACCAGGTGATCATTTAATTTTTTTTTTCGGTGTATTTTTTCCGATTCATTGATCTGCATTACCGATCAAAATTCTTAGTTATACTGCAATTGAAGACAAATTTTGGGGTATTTCATAAATCCGCGATGATAGCGTATGTGTTATGATGAGTTTTTTAGTAGTTACCACAGTCACACAATTACATAGTTATTAAATAAGTTCAGAAGTCAGGGTTATATTTATTCTATTTTTCAAAAGAAATTGCGTAATATTGATAAAATATCTCTTTTTACTCATAATATATTAAAAATCCAGTGCAAGATTGACGAAATCCAAATAATTAAAACGCCATTAAGCGATTGAATAAACCAATTTGAATATAAATGGATAACAGAGTAGAAGCTCAAGTGGCGCCAAAATCAATAGTATTCAAATCCCTAAAAATACTCACACTCTTCTTGAATTAGTGAAACCAGATGTTGAATATGGATACCCTTCCTAATTAATAAATAATTAAATAAACAAGAGGTCTTGTTCAGAGGAGAGTTAACGCAGCACTGATTATCAAGCTGGAACTTGTAGTCAAACATTTAATATTAAGAATAACGGTAATATAATAAACAAAGTTATTAAAAAAAAACAATATGAAATGATAACTAAAGATTTAATTTATAATAAAAATATTACCTCAAACATTTCATTAATTTCCGAATTAGATACATGGATTTTCAGTTTCGAATGTTTCGAATGCTTCATTCTTCCAAAATAAATGTTTTGTACATTCACAAAGCAATTCTTGGACTGTTACAATACATTATCTAATTCTGCTTTTAAATATGGATTATCTTTTGCCTTTTCACGTATATCTTCTAATGTCTTTAATTGATTACTACTACCATCGCTACAGTTTATATTTTAGACTTTATTAACATTATGTAAGATTTAATTACAAACTCAAACTCAAAACGCCAATATTATTATTATAAATAAATAATTATTCTTGTTCATGGAAAATAAATAATTTATATATATTATAACAAACTAAGATGACTGAAAACGGGAATACAACAGTTTAACGTGATCCAGTCGTGAAAAATGCATCTCAATTTTATAAATCAAACATTAAAAAAGTCTATAGTGAGAACAATAGACAATAGACAACACAAATCCCTTATATAGTTCGGTTGTATATTAACCCTAAATCTTTTTTTTTTGAAAAAAAGGTTTTTATTTGCTCCCATTTACTTATTTAGTATTAAATAACCACATGGTTCCAGCTTTTTCTTAATAATTATGTATATATTCACATATGCGTATTAGATTAGATAACTTTTTAATGCAAAAAATATTATTCGAAACTTACGAAACGAAGGAATGGTGTGTATTTAATTTTAATTTTTTTAAATACTTATTATTTTATTTTGATTAAGAAAGAATGTAAACTTTATTGATTTGCGAAGAATTGGAAATCTTTTTTTTTTTTTAGAAAAAAAAAACTTTAATACTTATATAATAATAAATTTTATTTCTTATAATCAAAAAATGTATAATCTATAATAAAAACTAAATGCATAATTAAGTGATAATAATATGAATGAAAGAAATACATAATTGATAAAAACAAAGGAAAAATATGATTAATTGGATTGATTGTAATTAATGCGGTTTACAGGAGAATTTCTTTTAAAAATATTTTATATTAGAAAAAAAAATTATCAAATAAAATATTAATAAATTCATATATTTTTTTTAAATATCTTACTTGTCGTGTTTTGGTCGTATCGGAATTTTTCTTTTGGACCTTTTTCTTTTTTCCTTCTGATTGTTATCTTTATGATTTTTTGGTGTTGCGTGTTTATGATTAGTGCCATTATCTGCAATTCTAACAAAATTTCCTTCTTTTTCCACATCTTTTCTTCGATTTCTTATTTCAATATCTTCTAGTAACTTGTCTATCTGACATATTGCTTTATTGATCCTCTCCTCAGTCGAAATATTTTCATTTCTATCTTTATTATCTTTATTATTTATTTTAATTTCAATTCGTCGAGGACTTATTTTTGTATTAATGTAAATGTGTGTACCAGTCCCTTTCTCGATGGGTTTTAGATTACGCCCTTTACGACCAATTAATTTACCAATTTCAACATGGTCAGAAATTTCAATAATGGTCAAAATAGTTGAGTATCTGATGGAATTTAGCATTTGCATTTCCATTTTTATGAAGAATTTAAAGATGATATATTATTATATATATTTTAAAAAAAGGAGGAAGAGAAATATATTATTTTTTTTTTGAAGATTTTTTTTTAAAAAAAAATGAGAACTCAAAAAAAGGAGTGTATTTATAATTTAGCAATTATTACAAATTACAAACAAAAAAAAATACATCGCAAATTGCAACAAAAACATATTCCATTCAACAAAAGTTTTATGTAATTATTATTATTAACAAAACCATTTTTTTAATTAACAAAGACAATGGTTTTGATGATGAATTATGAAAAACGATTTTTTCAATAACTATTTTTTAAACCATGTTTATCATGTTTTTATTATAAAAGGTAATTATTTCTTTTAAGCATGAAAAGACATCATAAGGATTTTCGCGTGTTAATAATATAACTGATAGTCAAGACTATCACAAAAAAGTGATAGCTGGGTTATTTTTAGCTGTCTGCTGTCTTGTGCCACAAATTGCGTCATCAATGACAATTAACAAATGCTTTTGTTCTCAGTCATCAAAAAATAAAAAGAAAATTCTCCCTATCAAACAAACGACCAACCAGAACGGCGTTCCACTTAATAGGGTAACAATGATTGTAGTACAACTTGATTAATTGGCTAATCGGTCTTATCCGTAAAAAAACCAAGAGAATTTAGATTTAACATATATACCCGAAAGAGAAATGGTTAAATGACATGACACGCTTAATCATGATATTCTTACGAAAGAGTTTTAAAGATATGTAAATATGTCTATTGTTTCAATAATTACACTAAAATAAAACCTTCCAATGAACTAGTATTTAACAAATCTCGTTATTGTGAATAAACAAACATTAGTTATTAATTGGAGCGGTATCAAAAAAAAAAGCACGTTTACTTGGCCTAATTACTGATTATGTTTAGATAAATGAACGATTAAAACCGAGGACATATGTCGCCTAATAGGACAGTAATCGGACACGAACTTAAAAAAAAAATTTATTTCATTTTTTTATTCTATATTTGGAACTTTACGTAATAAATGACAACCCACTAATGCACAAAATAAAATACTCCTAGAAAGAAGAAATTTTAATCAGTGGAAATAGCTAAAATTTCTTAAAACTACACAAATTTTGTAATTGTGCAGCGCAATATTATATTTAGTTTAGGTGTATAAATTTTTAAAGTATTTGTATTTACTGCGGTCTGGGATGACCTTAAACTATCATAAATTGGGTTTATTAGGGGATTAAACATCCGTAATGATGTAAAACTATTCTTGTGTAATTATTTAATTTTATTTTATTATATTACTAGCATTACTAGCAGTTACTCGTTGCTTCGCACCGTGGACCAATGAGTTTGTTTAAATAGAAAATATTAGAATTAAAGACGGTTACAGCAGTTTTTTGTTTATAATTAAGTATGTATTAAATTATAATTATAATATTAGAATGATATAAATTATATTGAGAATTGGTAAACTTCGCCTGGGTCTTCGATCACGCGGCAGATTTAATATTTTCGATTGGCCAGATTGGCGTCATGTTTTATCGAGGTTCGTTTCCTCAGTTCTTTCGGTCTCGAGGTATTTTTCTTTCTTTTCTTTTATTTTTATTTCTAACTTACATTGCTTCTTACTAACTCTATTTCATTATTTTTAGGTCTTTTATCCGATTCTGCAATTAAGGTTCAGTTGTTTTTCACTTTATATTTCGTTTCTTATTTTTTATTTTTTTTATTTTGTTTCCGTTTCATATTTCGTTTTTCACTAATTTTATTTAGATTTTTTAGTTCTATCGGTTCTACAATTAATAAAGGCATGTTTTTATTTTTTATTTATCTTTTTATTTTGCTTCTATCTTATATTTCGTTTCTTACTAACTTCATTTTTTTTACTTTATTATTTATTTTTACTTGGTTTCCCTATAAAAAATTTTATCCGTTATTTCTGTAAAAACTCCGTAAAAATGAGCCTTTCACGGATCCATTCATGGAAAATGTAAATAATTCGATAAATTCCATGATATAAAGTTATTAATTCCAGAAATATGAGCCTTTTACGGAAAAAAGATGGAATAAAAAAAAATGGATTACCTTTTTTTACAGGGTTTCCTATCATTATCTTTTGCTACATGATGATCATTTTTTTATTTTTTTGTCTCTCATAATTTTTCACTTCCTATTACTTCTCATTATTCCATTCTTTTCGTCTCCCATTATTTTCTATTTCTATTACATCCATTATTTCTTTTTCTCTCCTGTTTACTTCCCATCATTTCTTTTTGTCTCTCATCATTCCTTTTCGTTTCTCATCACTCCTCTTTATCTTCCCATCACTCCTTTTCATCTCCCATCACTCCTCTTCATCTTATAATCACTTCTTTTCATTCCCATTTCTCCTCTACTCCCTTTCATCTTCAATTACTTTCCATTATTCCATTGTTATTTCATTTTTTTATTAGCATCTTTCTTCTTAATCATTGTAATTTACTTAAACGAAATTAGAACAAAGTGAAGACGAAAAAAGAGAACAAGAAACAAGAACCCATCTGAAATTTCAAAGCACTGAAGTTGCCAAAGAGCTGAGATCTAAGATGAAACAAAATTAGAATGAAGTTAAAAAACGAAAAATTCCTTTCATTTAAAAAGAAATAAAAAAAATTTTTCATTTTAATCCTCCATTATTTAAAAAATTTTTTACCTTTTATTTTTTTCCCTCATCGGCCATTTCTTTCGTTAATTTAATAATATATTTTAAACACTAACTGTTAACGTAGATACCGTAGTTAACAGGTGAATCCTAGTTTTATATAAAAATGAATGATAATCATTTCATTAGTGCTTAATAATTACCTAAGACGAAATGATTAACCAGTTAGTGCGATTTTGTAATAATTGATATACATTCCAGTTGTGCAAAATTTGTTTATCATATATGCAATGATGCAATGTTTTGTACTTGTGATCAACACTTTTGTACATAATGCATTTTGCATAAATATTGTTACCGTATTTATTTATACTAATAAAGGCGTTTAATAATAAAGTAATACTTTATCTTTTCCAATTAGGGGGAATTTGATATAGCAATGGACAGTAAAGGTAAAGCATATAACATGAATAATAATATAAATTAGAATTATTCAAAATTTTTAAACAAACTTGCAACATAATAAAACTAGTTTTGTGTGATACCAAAGAACCTGAAGGTAAATATAATATACAAAACGAAGTTGAAATATTAAGATTTTTATTTGTTAATAAAAAAACTTAATTGTAAATAATCAAATATAATTAAACCAAATTTGAAGAAGGTGATACCAAGGAATCTAAAGGTATATCAAACAAGATGAAGTATTATGTTTTATTTATAAGCAATTCAAATACTACAAATATGATTTAGACTAACTATATTATATAAAATTATATTAAATATTTAGATTGTAAGTTAATATAATGAATTACTCATTATTTTTATTATATTCTATATAACTAAATAATTTATTTAATGATTAATAATACTATAGTTGGTAAGTTATCAGTTATTTAAACCTTTAGTCCTTTACTTTATTTACTCTACATAACATTCAAATAACTAAATTCTCTGTTTAAATAACTATTTAATAATCAACTATATTACAGATGGTAAGTTACAATATATATATTATATTTATTTGTTTAATAATTTATATGATTCAACTAATTATATTTTTAATTTAAATAACTAGATTGTAAGTAATATATATAGTTTTACAGTAAATACTTTTATAATATCTTTATATCTAACTAATTAATAATTAATAATAATTCAGGGTGTAAGTTATATGATGTCTGTATTTTATTATTTATATAATTTAAGCTAACTTATTTCATTATTTAAAAAATTATTAAATAATATAGGGCGTAAGTTATTTATTTAATTCTATTATTACTTATTGTTATAATATTTACATATAACTAATTTCTTTATTTAAAAAATATTAATTAATATAGTTTGTAAGTTATTTATTTGATTCTATTATTACTTATTGTTATCTGTTATAATATTTACATTTAATTTAAACTAACTAATTTCTTTATTTATTTAATAGATAGTAAGTTATAAGTTATTTATTTAATTCTATTATTACTTATTGTTATAATATTTACATATAATTTAAACTAACTAATTTCTTTATTTAAAAAATTATTAAATAATATAGGGAGTAAGTTATTTATTTAATTCTATTATTACTTATTGTTATAATATTTACATATAATTTAAACTAACTAATTTCTTTATTTAAAAAATTATTAAATAATATAGGGAGTAAGTTATTTATTTAATTCTATTATTACTTATTGTTATAATATTTACATATAATTTAAACTAACTAATTTCTTTATTTAAAAAATTATTAAATAATATAGGGAGTAAGTTATTTATTTAATTCTATTATTACTTATTGTTATAATATTTACATATAATTTAAACTAACTAATTTCTTTATTTAAAAAATTATTAAATAATATAGGGAGTAAGTTATTTATTTAATTCTATTATTACTTATTGTTATAATATTTACATATAATTTAAACTAACTAATTTCTTTATTTAAAAAATTATTAAATAATATAGGGAGTAAGTTATTTATTTAATTCTATTATTACTTATTGTTATAATATTTACATATAATTTAAACTAACTAATTTCTTTATTTAAAAAATTATTAAATAATATAGGGAGTAAGTTATTTATTTAATTCTATTATTACTTATTGTTATAATATTTACATATAATTTAAACTAACTAATTTCTTTATTTAAAAAATTATTAAATAATATAGGGAGTAAGTTATTTATTTAATTCTATTATTACTTATTGTTATAATATTTACATATAATTTAAACTAACTAATTTCTTTATTTAAAAAATTATTAAATAATATAGGGAGTAAGTTATTTATTTAATTCTATTATTACTTATTGTTATAATATTTACATATAATTTAAACTAACTAATTTCTTTATTTAAAAAATTATTAAATAATATAGGGAGTAAGTTATTTATTTAATTCTATTATTACTTATTGTTATAATATTTACATATAATTTAAACTAACTAATTTCTTTATTTAAAAAATTATTAAATAATATAGGGAGTAAGTTATTTATTTAATTCTATTATTACTTATTGTTATAATATTTACATATAATTTAAACTAACTAATTTCTTTATTTAAAAAATTATTAAATAATATAGGGAGTAAGTTATTTATTTAATTCTATTATTACTTATTGTTATAATATTTACATATAATTTAAACTAACTAATTTCTTTATTTAAAAAATTATTAAATAATATAGGGAGTAAGTTATTTATTTAATTCTATTATTACTTATTGTTATAATATTTACATATAATTTAAACTAACTAATTTCTTTATTTAAAAAATTATTAAATAATATAGGGAGTAAGTTATTTATTTAATTCTATTATTACTTATTGTTATAATATTTACATATAATTTAAACTAACTAATTTCTTTATTTAAAAAATTATTAAATAATATAGGGAGTAAGTTATTTATTTAATTCTATTATTACTTATTGTTATAATATTTATGCATAATTTAAACTAACTAATTTCTTTATGTAAAAAACTATCTATGATATAGCTTGTAAGATATTTATATTTCTATTGTTATATATTTTATATAAGGAATATGTATATTATACTTATTTGTTAACTGAATTCTTTCATTTAAAAAATATCTGTTGCTTTAGTTGGTAAGTTGTAAATTATAGGTTATTATATATTTATCTAAAAACTAAGATTTATTACATCAAATTCTTTATTTAAATTTTAGAGTAAGTAATAATTTATTTTGGTGTAATTATAATACAAGCTATAATATAATTTTAACTATTTAAATTTATAGATTTGGAAAAAGTGAAAATGCAATTATAGATAATTTTATTTTTGAAAATGGATTAAAATGGATTCCTTATAACAAATTTAGAAATGTTGAATATTTTAATGAAGGAGGATTTGGTACTATATATAAAGCTACTTGGTTAAAGAATAATAGAGATAAAAAAGTAATTCTTAAATGTCATAAGGATTTAAATGAAAACTTAAATGAATTTTTAAAAGAAGTATGATAGTATATTATTTTTTATTTTAATTTAAGAATTATTTATATTAATAAGTTATTATTTTTTATAGTGGAAATATCATGCAAGTGTATTAAATTCAAATCATATTATATTTTTTTATGGATTTACAGAAGATCCAAATACTTCAAAATATATGGTAGTAATGGATTATGCAAATAAAGGTAATTTAAGAGAAAATTTAACAAGTATAGTTGAAAATAATTGGAATCAAAAATTATATATGTTGTACGAAATTATTTCTGGACTTAATAAGATACATGAAGAAAATCTTATTCATTGTGATTTTCATGATGGTAATATTTTAAATCATAATAATAAGGATAAGGATAAAATTTATATTAGTGATTTAGGATTATGTCAACATGTAAGATCGTTTTTGAAAGAGTATGATATTTATGGTGTTATACCATTTATGGCTCCTGAAGTTTTAAGAGGCAAATCTTATACTCCAGCTAGTGATATATATAGTTTTTCTATGATTATGTGGGAGCTTACATCTGGGATACCACCATTTAATAATAGAGCACATGATATTCAACTTAGTTTAGGTATTTGTAAAGGTGAACGTCCTGAAATTATTGAAAATACCCCACAATGTTATGTAGATTTAATGAAAAAATGTTGGAATGAAGATTCATCAAAAAGGCCATTTTCTAAAGAAGTATTAAATATTATTAAAAAATGGATTTTCCGTCCTGATGGTAATGAAGTCAGTGAAGAATTAGAAAGCAACATTATGGAATTTATAAATGCACCAATTGGGCGTAACAATATTGCTACTAAATCTCACTCTAAAGCATGTTATACAAGTCGCTTACTTGATTTTACTAGTAAAAAATTGAATGAAATTCTTGAAAGTAAAATTTTGAATGATTGTGTGATTAAAGATTTGAGGACATTGGGTATATACCATAATATATAAAAATTTAATCTTGCAAATTATTTATATGAATTAATTAATTTAATTATTAAAACAGATGAGAATACTAGTAAGTTGAATGAAATTCTTGAAAATGAAAATTCACAAGCCAGTGTAGAAGCAAATGAAATTCTAGTAAGTGAAGATTTGAATGATTATATAATTAAGAATTTAGGGTCATTAGGTATGTACTGTAATATATAAAAGAATTAATCTTGCAAATTATTTTATGTGAAATTAATTTTATTTAATATTTAATTATTTAGATATTAAAACAGATGATAATTAACTAATCATTGTTTGTTTTTAAAAAAATTTATAGTTTCTTTTAAGTGATATTTGATATTACACATTCAAAAGAAATTATTTTTTATTTTATTCTTTTTAAATTTATTTAAACACTAAGGCTAGAGTAGTAAAATATTTTACAAGTTTCTTAGTTTGTAATTTAAATAATTCTTTTATTTTTAGCTTATATATTTATATTCACTTTTTTTTATTATACTTAAATTATTTAAACACTAAGATTAGAGTAGTAAATATTTTACAAGTTTCTTAGTTTGTAATTTAAATAAATCTTCTTTTTATAACTTTTCCAATTATGAGGTATAAATTATCAACCAATGATAATGTAAAGTTTTTATACTTATTTCAATAGCTGATTGTATTTAATCTATATTTATTGACTTTTATTTTTCATATTATTTAAATATTTTGATAATAAACTACACCAAAGATATCTGCTGGATTATATAATGCATCAGTTATTTATTTTTCTTGATAAACTAAAGTCTTCTAACTTTATTCTATTTTGATATAGTACAAGTACAAATATACATGCTAAATGAATATATATATTAATTTATTGCTTAATGTAATCAAATTAAAAAAATTCAAGTAAATTATTATATTACAAATCACAGTAAACAATTCACTTGTTGTATCCGAATAATTACATAGATTGACTTTAGGTTTTGAGTAATTTCAAAGTAATGTGGTATGTGAAAGTGTATATGTGATATGCTTGAACCTATAATATCAATGAACAAACACATAAAATTGTTAATCAAAACAAGTGTCTGATTTACCTTTCAGTCCATTTAAGTTCCAAGAAGTTGGTGCTGCTGGTATACCTAAAAAAGAAGAAATGTTAAAGCTTAGAACATTTCTTATTTACATTTCTTAGTCTATAGCTCTATACTCTTCCCTTTTCTAATTTACTTAATGTTAATTATGAAGTTCATTCATTAAAGTTGTCAGGTATTCCCACAATAAGAAAAACATTTTTTTGGGCTAACTTAAAGGAGCGTTGTAAAAAAAGTATTTAAAAAAAGGCTGAAATAAAATGATTTTAAAAAGTTGATGATTTAAAAAAAAAGGCCAAAGTAGAATAACAAAAAAGAATGAAATAAAATTACATCAGTAATGTTTTAGGATTTAGGATCCACGTGGAATCCTTATTTTCTGTAATTAGTAAGGATACGCATAGATCCTTCCCACCTCAGCGGATCTTTAACATCAAAAAATCTGTAGAATCCTGAAGGATCTGAAATATTAGTTCAGGGATTCTTTAAAGATTTTATTTATTAATTAAATATTATATTTAATATCGTATATACATTATTAAATTCATATTAGTAATTACTAATTACATAATACTTTACTTCTATTGTTTTACACGAAATAATAAAAATTACAATTTTATATTCCTATTACATGAATATATTATTTATTTCTTATTGATCAATATTGCCATCATTTTCGTATTGTTCTTTATCAGATTCATCTTGATTAATTATATTTTTATCACTATGAACATCACCCTCACTACCAGTATCATTATTACCCGAACTAACATATGAATCACCAAGTTCTTCACGACTAATATCTTTGGTAATATCTGCTATTATCTCTTTTGAATTCTGTAAATATTCCTATAATAAATAATTATTAACAACTGTTGATTCATGCTCATAGATTTGTAGTTATATTAATTTAACTTAACAAATATACATTAAAACGTCTATGAAGGGCATTATCACTAACTGAAATTTTTGGATGTCTTGGATTTAGAACAATTTCACAAACAGCCAAAGTAAAGGTGGTACCCATCACTGTAGTTGTTTTCTTTCCCATGCCTTTTTTTGTATCACTATGACATATGTAAAGTTTTGTCATCATCAACTTCAAATAAACAATAGAAAGCTTCTTTTGTTTTATGAGATCTTTTAAATTTTTGAATTGTGTCAGAATTTGCTGTAGTATTAATACGCATTAAATGATTTTCACCAAATACGTCTAACATTGAAGCACGAATGTCTTTGACTCTATCACATCAATGACTTTTAATTACATCTAAGCACTAAATATGAAATAAATTAGCAGTTAATATTAGTAATGCTATAATCATAATTAATGTTAAAATAAAAACACAATAAATGTATAATAATTATCACATTATATTTTAACACATGATTTTTTATTGAAACTTACTAAGGGATAGATGCATCCTGAATAAATATGAGTCCATTGTTCTCCTAGTTGTTCAATATACTGTATCTTGGTTTTTCTCATTCTAGGATAGTCTCAAATTAGAGGTCTGCAAACGGGACCCGGAACCCAGAAACCCTAACCCGGCCCGGACCCAGATCCGAGTTTGGGCCAGCAAATTTTCTTCAAAATTCACCCGGGCTGGGTCCGAGCTGGCACATGAATTTTCGTAAAACCGGATTTTCGTAATTCTGGCCAAAATCGTCTTAATTCCGGCCGAAATTAAACTGGCCAAAATTAAGTTGGCCAATTTTTTTGTTTTTACAACCAAATAATATAATAAAAGTCTGAGTCCGGTCCGGGCCAGGTTTTTGATATTTTAAGTCCGGGTCGGGCCGGGCTGGACACTTTATGTTAATTTCCAAGTGCGGGCTGGGCTGGGTTGTAAAATAGTGGTCAATGCAGACCTCTATCTCAAATCCTTTTTTAAATTCCAAATCATCAGAATAAAGGCCTAGAAGAGGTAGTTGAACCTTGCACGTTTTTGATGCTAGATTCTATTAAACAATAAATAGATCAATAAATTAATTCAAATTATAATAAATAAATAATATTTTATAATACCTTCCAATAAGAATCTTCAGGAGTGATTAATTGATCAACTTTTTCTAACATAATGTTTAATTTTTCATTGATCTCTTTTTGAAACACGTCTTGCAAAGCTTTGATTTTATGTATCGCTTAATATATACTTTTATTTTATCCTAAACACTTCTTCAGACCATTGACTATTTGTAGGTAAAATACTGTATTATCAGCTAAAAAAAACCAAAATGTAAATAATTATCGTTAATATGTAATTATTAACAATACGTAAATTCAATACTTATTAATACCTGTTGGAACTTTTTCCATTGATCTTGATATATTTACATCAAGTGGTAATATATTGGTATTAAAAGTATCATGAACCATTGAATAATTCAAAGCAAATTCTTGATCTTGTATAATTAAGTTTCATGGTCTTGTACAATTGAAGTTTCATAAATTCTACTGTTATTTGTCATAATTGGTAGTGGAACTGATGGAATTACTATTTCAATACTTGCTTCTCTTTGTTTTTGTTGAACTGATGGTGCTACTATAGTAGAATTAGCTGGATGAAAATTATAAGATCATTATATTATATAAACCCACCTCTGACAGCTGCTAAACATGCAGCAATTCTATTTACTTCACTTGTTATTGTCTTAGAAGAAGTGGACTGAAAACTTTTGTTTCTTGTGGTATTTTAAGTAAAAACTATATACAGTCGACTCTGGTTATAACGAACCTCTTTGTACCGAAACCTCGTTATACCGAATCATAATTTCCAGAACCGATTTTTTATAAATAATTTCACTGGATATGACGAACTTTTATAATAAAACACTATATAACGCATCCGAACCAAACTTAACCAGCCCCTATATATTTATTTATTTATTTATTTTATTTTATGTAAAGTCGGAAGAACTATTCTAAGAGAGCATTTATCCTTAGGAATGTGCCCAACATTTAGTCCATCATCTATCCCGAGGGGCAGACCCTACCTAATTATTATATATAATAGACTGCTCTGACAACACGACCGATGAAGGAGCAGGTAAAAGGAAACAGGGAACTAGAGAACCAAAGAAGTGAGAACATCTATCTAATGGCTACATTATTATGGTGAATTATCATCTAAATAAAATATCTTATGTATAAAAATTAAGTGAGGCAAAACTATACATTATAAAATAAACAAATGTTTGAAGATGAAGGAGAATTATAATTAATAGTATCATTAGCTTCTAAATGTGTAAAAAGAGAACCACTATGTAAAAAATCAAACTTCTATAAAGGGTGAGAAGTCCCATATTTTTCTTTCGCCTAAAAAGGCGCCAACTGTAAATACTGTCAGAGTTGGAATGGTTCACACTATTCTAAATTGTTTTTTGGTTACGCAAATTGGGTGTAAATAATAAAACAAAATAAGATGTAGAAATAAACTACTGCTAAGTAGAAAAAATTTTGACTCAAAAAAAAAAAAATTATAAATTTTTAATATCAATGAATCTTCACTCCAGTTGAGTCGTCCATAACGGCAGGAAAGAGACGTCTACGTTTGAATCTATCTGTGTTATCAATCGACAGGTAAAGGTTAGTAGTATGCGAAGAAAATCTTCGTTTTTTAGGTCTGAGTTCGAGCTCTTTAGCATCGTCGGAAGTGTCCACTGGCACTCCGAACATGTCAAGGTGTGATTGGTTGCCATAGCGCAGGTACTTGTTAGATCTAATATTATCATCTTCAAATATGTTGGTACAATAATTACTCATAGTCTTATAAACTTTTGATTTAGTAATTTCGTTATCAGTTTCCAAGTATTGGGTTGTCAACTTCGTCATTTTATCGTGAACACGCTCACAAAATGTACTCAACCTATCCTTCAAAAATTGTCGTGGTTTAACCCGATAGACTGAAGTCCCTTGCATAATTGCATTTTCTTGATTCAATCTAAAATGAGCAATACGCTCATTCTCACGTTGTAACGCACGACGTTGTGCTTTTGTAAGTGGTGGGGGCAAATTGTTGTGTAAATTATACATATAAGTAAACCACTCTCTAGAACCTGGAACTATATATACACCCTCCTCTGTGTAAAGCGGTTCCTTAGGAATTATATTTCTGTATTTGTGAGGAATAAACATATTAGGGGTTGGATTGTAGGGCGCTACTGTATACGTAATAAGGGGTAAAGATGGTAGAGTATCGTAAATCGTGGTAGTCATAAATCTTTTACCAGGACGTCCAAAAAAGGGCGTCCAAAATTTATAATTTCCGTGATGGAGGCCTTGGTTGTAAAGAAGATGTTTGATGGGTTTAAGAACAAATTGTGTTTCTGAAAACAGAAATCGATATCTTTGTGCCGTAGCATATTTATGCTGTATAAGGTCCATACGATTATGTTCTTTTGTGTTGAAAATGCGTCGTTTAGCCCTATCAAAACGAGTCTCTTGAGCCTTGCTCACGCGAGGGTTGTGACTACGTCGGATACTTAAATTGCAAAGTTTTTTCCTATATATATGTTTATTATTAAGGTGTGTAATGGAGTGGCGATCACGAGCATGGATCGTTTCTTCATAAGAAATTCCCAATCTTCGAGAATAAATTCTTTTAGTTCTATGTGTATTCCAGTGAGTGTATAAAAGATTAGCATGAAAAATCTTTGGTTTTAAAGAAGGATTTGTTGAATCAACATTAAGTTCTTTTTTAACATTTTTAATATGTATAAACACATCATTTTTAAAGAATAAGGGTTGGTGAAGGACGCAAGCTCTTCTAAAATCTGACATTATGAATGGTGTCGGTACTTTACAAATGGTTTTTGGAGGAGTGAATCCAGGAAATCCAGGGGTAATGTAATCATGAGAACAAGGAATATATATTCCAAAGTGAAAACGATATCGTTTGTAAGAGAAATTAAAAAAGTTTTTGGTCGTTGTGTTACGTGAATCAATTTTACTAGCACGTGACATGATAATCGCCTTTCTTTGTAATAATTTATCTCGGATAAAATTAAAAAATTTTTGTTGAATACGCCTGGGTAAAACTCTTTGTAAAGAAAAAAAATGTGTGAGCATAACACTAATCTGGTATTTGTCATTAGGGAGTTTACTTGTGTTAGGATAACTAATTGGGGTTGTTTTCATGTGATAATCATTTGTGTGTATTTTAAGATGAATTTCATTGGTGTCTGTAAAATGATCGACTAACTCAAAAAAGAAACTTTTTGATCTACTGATGTCATAAATTTTGTTGTAACCAGCTCGATTAGGACGAGTCAAGTGAAATTTGGAAAAAGAAACGTCGAGGGGATATTTTTTCTCAAGGGAAGGTAAAATGTTTAAAGACTTTAAAGATGACATAACCTGTCTCTTATACACATCTAGATGTGTATAAGAGACAGGCATAACACTAATCTGGTATTTGTCATTAGGGAGTTTACTTGTGTTAGGATAACTAATTGGGGTTGTTTTCATGTGATAATCATTTGTGTGTATTTTAAGATGAATTTCATTGGTGTCTGTAGAATGATCGACTAACTCAAAAAAGAAACTTTTTGATCTACTGATGTCATAAATTTTGTTGTAACCAGCTCGATTAGGACGAGTCACGTGAAATTTGGAAAAAGAAAAGTCAAGGGGATATTTTTTCTCAAGGGAAGGTAAAATGTTTAAAGACTTTAAAGATGACATAACTACAAAAATTTTGGTATACTATAATGAAAAAACTCCTGTCTCTTATACACATCTAGATGTGTATAAGAGACAGATAACGAACAGTCATGTGACTATATAGTAGTCCAGATAGTGCTGGCCAGAATTACTAGTAATTTTTTCAAAAATTTATGTTAAAAGAAATTATAATTTTGGCCAGCATTACAAATTTGGCCTAAATTACCTATAAAGAAAACTAGTTCGGTATATTATATAACGAATTCACTATATACCGAACCAAACCTCCTGGAACGGAAGGTTCGTTATATCCAGAGTTGACTGTATATAGTTATAAACAGAATATGAATAATGATTAAAACTACTTGCTAAAAATTTGTGCATATCTTAAATATCTCTTTTTTTACCCATGATAGAAATTATGGATATAGTTGTTATAATTTTAGAGTAAATAAAAATTTGGTTAGTAAATTAAAACTTGAGGGGGAAAAGTTTAAGATGATATGAAATCTTGGATATTTTTGATAAGCTATATGTAAATAAAGTTTATTATAAAGTTAATATATAAACTATATTTCACGCTGTAACCCTAGATATTAAGATAATCACTTGATCAGAAGAATAACTACCCGAAGGATGAATAATATACCGAATGGAATATGGATAAACATTCAGCCAATGGAAGAATATTTAACCGAAATAATCAGAAAATACATTATTATAGTTGTACAATAGTTAGTTATTTATAGTAATATTTATTTATAGTTCAGTTATTTATAATTATTTATATTATTAGATTAGTTATTATTAGTTTAGTATAAATAGATTATTATTACTTTAATGAAATGATATAATATTAGGAAGACCTTGACAATTTAATTTATGGAATGGACAATTTACAGACAATAACAATTATGGACAGTCTGGACAAATTATGGATAATACCAAATTATGATGGACAGTTTGGACAAAGTCATGGACAATGATAAATTGTAATGGAAAATGATAAATTATGATGGGAAATGTTGAGTTTTAGATGGATAATCGAGAGATAATCAATTTATTAGTGTAACTTGAAAAGATATTTAAGATCGAGGTTTTGGAGTTGATTGAACTTTACCAATCTTTGGATTGGAGTTGGAATTATTAATGGTTAAAAACCAATCTTCAGATTGGAACTGGAATAATTAATGATTAATAGTTAATACCAAGTTTTGACTTGGAATTGGGAATAATATTGGGGATCTAGGAAAATATAATGATAATTAATAATTGTATTAGTTGTTAATATAGATTTACTAATATGGCTTCATATTAGAAAATGTTTAATAACTAATTGATAAAATTAATATTTAAAATAAAATTAATAAAACAAAAATAATGATGTTATGAAAGTATTAAGGGAAATTATCGCAGTTTGAGATTTTGAATAAATTAAAAGAATAAAATCTAAACCAAGCAAGGATATATATATTTATAAATATTAGGATTTCATCTATCGGTATGTAGCAGATGCCGGTGACATTATGGTGCATGCTCTGAGAAGAAAATGATCAGCAATCATGTGAAAGGTTATAACTAGCAATTATGCGAAAGGTTATGATTAACAACTATGCAAAAGGTCATTTTGATCATTCCCATATGATCAAGTACCTGTAAAGGTATTCCTGAGAATCTGAACTCGAGGTATTCATATTAATAAAACTTTAGAATATTTGGAATTAAATTAAAACAGTTAATAATGATGATAAATGAATTTTGCATTTTAATGAAAGACTCATAGACAAATAAAAAATATATGGGTTGAGTAAAGTTTACTAAAAATTTAAAAATGGTAAACGAATTTTATATTTTTAATGAAAGATTCATAAAATAAAATAAAATGGATTTATTACAAGAGAGAATTTCTGTGTATTGTAATGGATCACTCTTGAATATCAAAAATTTCCATTTTTATTTTTCTCTTGCATTCATGACTTTTCATTGGTGTTGTTGGGTGTGTTGCTTTTGTGTGGATGTGAGGTATTGTTAAAATTCTGATATCTCATCTTCAATTGCTCTTCAATATTCAAGTCGTCACTAGATGTATTGCTAGTAATTTCCCACAGGTTGCTTTCGTTGGAGTCATCGCTTTTCTCATAGTCTTTTTCAACCATTTCTTTGCACTTCTTCAGCTTCTCTATTCTTATTCTATCTTCTGAGTCTACTGTGCTTAGTTCTGTTTGTATTTGGTGTGCTTTTATTGTTGTATTTTTGAAGTAATATTCTTCTTTGAGTTTCCATTGTTCTTCTTTTTGTCAAATTGTTTTGTTCATTTCTGTATGCATTTGTTTCAGCATTTCATTGTTTGAGTTTCTGTATTCTTCTATGTATTTTTCAAAATCCTTGTTTCTGTTGGTGTTGTTGAGGTCTATACATATTGTGATAATTCCTCTAATAAAGGCGCCTAGTGTTTCATCTTCTGAACCTAAAAATTGTGCTATGTTTTTATCAATTGTGGTTATTTCCATTCCTGCGCTGCTTATAATTGCTTTGCGTTCCTCATCTGTTTTGTTTGCATATCCTTCCAGGGCGGCGAAGTCTTCTTTCAATGGTGTTATACCCATTTTGCTTCTAAAATTATTTTTACTGCAGATTCCTATATAAAATTTGATCATCAGGGAGAGTTTTTTTTTTCAAGCAATTCATTTTTGAATATTTTTTAAAAAAACTAATATATACGGAAAAAATTTAATCATGTGGAATGTGTACAGAATTTTTAAACTTAATATTTTTAGAAGATAATTTTACAAAAATTCCATATCATAACACAAGATAATGTGATTGTTTATTGATTTGTTATGATACGTTATTTGTTTTTATAAAAACCCTTACTTTGATGGGTTTGATCTTCCGATCTTCTTTTCTATCTTTCCTTTCCTTTCTCTTTTCTCTTGTCTTATTTTTGTTATTTTTTCTAAATTTTCTTCTTTCTTCGTCACCCCTTTTAAAAAAAAAGTTTTTTTTTTTCATACCTCACTTTAAAAAAGTTTTTTTTTATCACTTTCCTTTAAAAGAAAATTTTTTTTCATCACTCCCTTAAAAAAAAATTTTTTTTGATTTTATTCTTTTATTTCCACTCTTTTTTTTTTAAAAAAAAAAATTTTCTTCTTTCTATTTTCTCTTTCTAAAAAATTTTTTATTTTTCTAACTTTGACGTCCTTCCTTTAAAAAAAATTTTTTTAACTTTTCTAACTTTGTTACCTCTCTTTTTAAAAAAATATTTTTTTTGATTTATTCTTTATTCCCCTTTCTTTTTTATTTATATTTATCCCTTTTTTTATTTTATAGGCCAACAGATTTTTTTTTGTAAGAAGATTCAGTTTTCTTTTTTCTTTTTTGTAGATCAGTTTGGGAGTCCTTTCCTTTTTGTAGGATGGTTCAGGATTTTTTCTTTTTTTAGGTCAGTTCAAATTTTCTTTTTTTTTTTTT